TCGTGGCCATCAAGCGGCTGCTTCCTGGGCCCCTCTGTGCCTCCCGACGAGCTAGTCTCACCTCAGGCTGGAGGAGAAGGTTTCCATGCGCTATGTGCAGCTCTCATTTTCCCCATCCTAGACGTAGCCCAGAAACCCTGGTGGGGTAGTGGTTAAGAGCTACAGCTGCTAACCAAAAGGTCAGCAGTTTGAATCTACCAGGTGCTCCTTGGAAACCCCATGGGGCAGTTCTACTCTGTCCTATAGGGTCGCTAGGAGTCAGAATGGACTCAACAGCAACAGACTTTTTTGATTTTAGGCGTGGCCCAGAGTCCCTCGGTGGTGTAAACAGTTAACACGCTCGGCTCCTAACCAAAAAGTTGGAGGTTCGAATCCACCCAGAGTGCCTCAGAAGAAAGGCCTATTGATCTGCTTTTGAAAAATCAGTCATTGAAAACCCTGTGGAGCACAGTTCTGCTCTGACACACATGGGGTCGCCATGAGTCAGAATCAACTCTACGGGAACTGGTAGACTTGCCCCAGGAACCCTGAGACCCTGAGCGGCTTTCTGCTGTGACCTATAGCAATGTTCTGATCTCTGTCCTCAACTCATTGAGACGATATAAAATTATTTTTCACATTTTTTAACCAGACACCCCACCCCCAACATGCTTTTCAAAGTTTAAAAAAAACATCATTCAATGTTCTACCACTGAACAGTCGACCACGCAGAACACCGAAGCCCGTAACTGTGATGTTCAGCCTGGAAGGAGGCTGGGAGCCAACAAAAAAGCGGGTATTCACATGGCATCTTCCAGCCCAGAGAGGGGGTTCCTCTTGTTTTGCAGAAAGCTTGGGATGGATTTCCAGCTTCCTGCGCCAGCCACCCATCCCCTCACACCTTGTGTGACCAATGGCCCTTTTGAGCAGCTAGTGAGGGAAAGGTGTGGGCTACAGCTTTGGGGTCTTCCTACAGATGAAACCACTGTCCTGGCGTCCCCAGCATTGTTTTCCAACAATGTTGGCCTTGCTGAGGTGGCCTTGCTGAGGTGATCTGCCAGTGGAGCATAATCCTGATGTGTTCCTCTGGCTCGACAGAGAGAGAGAGAAAGGAGAGACCTTCCATGGAGTCAGCAGGTTTCAGATCAATAGCCTCATGTCTAGATAGGGCAGCTGGCATGACGGGCCATGTGGTGCGGTCCATGGGCAGAAGAACATACTACGATCCTAGGGACAGGCCCTCCACTCCACGGTTCCAAGAAGATTCAGGCAGGAGCAAACATGGCACCATCTCTAGTTTCCATGGCACCCAGCTCACTTGGCTATCAAACCCAACAACGATGGAAACTGAGAGAGACCCAGCGCTCACGGGAGCATCTTTGTTGGCACTGCAGTAACATTATATGAGTATTTGTCACCTTCAGTGGTTGTTGTTGTTGTTAGGTGCTGTCAAGTCAGTTCCGACTCATAGCGACTCTACATACTACAGAACGAAACACTGCCAGGTCCTGCGTCATGCTCACAATTGTTATGCTTGAGCCCATTGTTGTAGCCACTGTGTCAGTCCATCTCATTGAGGGTCTTCCATGCGGGGGGGTGGAGTGTCTGGTCTTGCATAGCTTCCAGCATCACTGCAACACGCAAGCCCCCACAGTACGACAACTGACAGACACGTGGGAACCTTCAGTGGTAGGCAGAATAATGGCCACCCGAAGATGTTTACAAGCTAATCTCCAGTTCCTATAAATACGCTACCACACATGGCAGAAGGGACTCTGCAGATGGGATTGAGATGGGGAGATTATCCTGATCCAGGTGGGCCCAATGTCATCACAAGGGTTCTTCTAAGTGAAAGAGGTAAGCAGGAGCGTCCGAGAAGGAGCTGAGATGACAGAAGAAGAGTCAGAGCGATGCAGAATGAGAAAGACTACAGGCCGTTGCTGACTTGGAAGACGGAGGGACGGGCCCCAGACAAGGAAGGTGGGAAGCTTCTAGAAGCTGGAAAAGGCCAGGAAATGGATTTTTCCCAGAAGGAATGCAGCCCTGCCAATATCTTGATTTTAGCTTAGCAAGTCCCATTTCAGATTCCTAACCTCCAAAACATTAAGACAATAAATTTTCATGGTCTTAAGCCAACAGATTTGTTACGGCAGCTTTGGGACACTAATATGTCTTCCTTAGGAAATATGATGTTTCCTAAGGACAAGAATGAGTGCTTACTCTTTGTGACCCAATGGCAATGCCTTGCCCACACTTAACCAGTAACCAGCTGCTATGGAGTGAATTCCTAGTCATGGTGACCCCACGTGTGTCTGAGTAGAACTGTGCTCCACGGGGCTTTCAATGGCTGATTTTTCAGAAGTAGATCACCAGGCCTTTCTACCAAGGTGCCTCTGGGTGGACTCAAATCTCCAGTCTTTTGGTTAGCAGCCAAGCATGTTGAAAGTTAAGCGTTTGCAGCACCCAGGGACTCCTGCCCACAACTCTGCTTAATAAATATGTGTGGAATGGATCTACTCAGCCTTGCTCCATGAAAGATCTGTGTCCACTATACACATAATCACTTGGGACTTACAACCGAGTGTTCTCTGGTGTTTTCTGACATTATTATACCTGGTCTGGACTAGAAGCTTCTTGAGGGAAAGGGCCCTGGCTGTCCAGCTGTTGTCTGAGCACGGGCTGGGCCCTAACTCTGAGCTGCAAGTGCTTCCTAAGACGTATTTGGTAATAGGAAACTAGAACCACGATTGCTTCAGGAGCAGGGGAAAGGAAGAAAGGACATCACAGTTCTTGCGTGGAAATTTCACAGAACTGATGAGGGCTGCGAAGGGCCTTCCCTGGTCTGGAGAAACTCTTCCAGCCATAGCTGGGGAGCTGCTGTGCCACGGGAAGTCAGGGTAGATTGATGTGGGGAGCCAGATCTTGGAACGACTGTGAAACAAAATTGTGACAATCGTCTCCTGCTTCTAGGGCCCGGCCTCCCTGCTCCCAGGAAGGAATCAGACGTTTATAATTTACACCGCACCGTGAGCTTGTATCAGTATGTCTCCCCTCCCTGGAGCACAGGCCTACTACACTGTTGTCTCTTCACTGTTGAAGAAAGGGAGATTGCATCCCCCGCCCCATAAGACCTCAGAGTCTCCTGTGTTGGCAGGCTGGCCTTGCTGAGACAATCCACGACAAGAAAGCGTGGTGGGAGAGAGCTCAGCTAACATTCTGAACTCTGCACGTTGGCCCAGGACAAAGACAAAGAGCGCACACTGGCAGCAGATCTCTGGAGAGATCCTTGGGTTCCTCCCAGGCCAGTTTCTGACTGAAACAGTTCCCACGTCCTGGCTGTGGGATTACACATAGGAGTTGAGAAAAACACAAGAGTTTAGGATAAAGCCCTGGCTCCTGATTTGGGTAATGAGAAAGATGGTTAGCTCCATGGAGTACAACATGAAGACAGCGTGAAGGGGAAGCTCCGGGGCGGACGGACATTCTGTCGTGAATAGGTTGCATCTGAGGGGCCTGCAGCAGACCCATCTGGAGACATCTGAGCAGACATGCAGATACAAAGGCTTGGGTTCAGGACAGAGGTCCTGCCTCTGGAGATATACACCTGAGAGTTGCCCGTGTTGGGAGCTGATGGTGGAAAAATAGATTAAATCTTCCAGGGTGAGAAGAAAAGAGGGCAGAGTCCAAAACCCTGTCAACACCAGCATTTAAGAAAACAGACAGAGGTTGAAAAAACAAACAAAAGAAAAGCTAACAAAGAGATCGAGAAAAAGTGATAAAATGGGCAGAACTAGGAAAAGTGGTTTTTAAAAGCTAAAGAGAGGAAGGTTTCCAGAAGAGGGTGGTCTATGGTGTCCCATGTTCCAGCGAGGTCCAGGACGATGAGTGCAGAAAAGAGCCTCCTGGATCTGGCAGGTAGAGGCATAGAGGCCTCGGTGAGAGCAGCTCTGGCGGGAAGTGTAAGTGTGTGTGTGTGTGTGTGTGTGTGTGTGTGTGTGTGTGTGTGTGTGTGTCTGTTGCGGGGTGGGATGGGGTGGCAGAAACCAAATCCTAGACTCCCAGAGCATTCTGTTATAAGTAAGCTGCATCTGAGGAGCCTGCAGCAGACCCATCTGGAGACATGGGAGACATGAAGGCTGAGGGCCAGGACAGAAGTCCTGCCTGGAGAGAGATACCTGAGAACCGCCCATGTTGGGAAAATAGATCAAATCTTCAACCAATGCCTGGGACTGAGGACATGGAGACAGTAGGTGTAAGATCATCATTTGAAGAAGCAGGGAAGTGAGGGAAGGAAAGAAATGGAACAATAAGAGCTTGAAAGGAAATCAGGACCGAGAGGAGGTTTTGTTTTGGTTTGGTTTGATAATGAAAGACACTTGTGTGTGGGAAGGAACCAGTGAGTAGAGCGGAATGAAGATGTCACTGAGCAAAGACTCGGAACACTGGGCTGAGGGACCAGTGGCGCAGCCCCGCGGGACCCACAGAATTTTGCTGTGTGTGTTGCTGAATTGGTGATGACGGATGAGACCTCATCACCAGCCCAACGGTCGGGGGCAGATTAACCAACAGGCAAGGCAAGCACCTTGCTTACCCTGCTTACCAGATCATCTGTAGTGAATTTCACATTAACTTCATCATCTGTAGTGAACTTTAGCAAAGATGTGGTGAAACCCAAGTGGAACTGTTCACTACAGATTAGTAAGTAAGCACAGGTAAGCCTGTGCTTACCTTGCTTACCGGATCATCTGCTCCTGTCAGGGACTGTAAACTTGAAAAGAGGCTTTGATTCTGTAGGAAGGCGCTGTGGGGTTGGGAGAGAGACAGATGCCAGCCATACCTAGAAGCAGAGTCTTTGATGTGGTGAAAAAATGTGAAATCATTCACTACAGATGATTTGGTAAGCAGGGTAAGCACCGTGCTTACCTTGCCTATTGGATAATCTGCCTCTGCCCACAGTGCAAGGACGAAGGGCCACTCCTCCTGCTGGCTCCCACGGGGCTCCACCCCAACCACAGTCTTACCTCGTGGAGTTTGTCAGCCTTCTGGGTCTGCTTCTTCCGACTTCTCTGAGCAGCAACTCGGTTCTTCTCCCTCCTTCGGACCTTCCTGTCATCATCTTCGGGACTCTGGGGGAAGGCTTTTGGTCAGGTGTGAAGGTGAGGCCCCTCACCTCACCCCCCTCAGCTTTCCCTCTTCACTCAGCATTGCCTGTCACACTTCACCATTTTATTTGCAGTGCACAGCACTTGTTAGGTGTCTTCCAGTCAATTCTGACTCATAGCAACCCCATGTGACAGAGTAGAACTGCCCTATAGGGTTTCCTAGGCTGTAATCTTTATGGAAGCAGATTGCCAGATCTTTCTCCCGTGGAGCCGCTGGGTGGGATCAAACTGCCAACCTTTCAGTTAGCAGCCGAGCTCTTTACCATTGTGCCACCAAAGCTCCTGGGATAACAATAACTCACCGTGCTTAGCTGCTAATCCCCACAACCACCCGGAGCAACGTGTGGTGTGACCACCATCTGAAAGATGAGGAATAAGGAACTCAGAGGGCTTAAGGAACTTGCTCCAGGTACCACGGCTAGTAAGTGGCTGAGTGGGAAGTGGAACTCAGGTCTGTTGGCTCCAAACCAGTGCTCATAAACCTCTACAGGGCGTGTGCCTGGAGGAGCTGCGCTGTGATGCTGCTCCTTCAAGATGGGAAAGCCAGAGGTCATCTGGAACTTGCTGTGTGCCAGGCTTCCCAATGCCACATACAAACTGGTGCTTCTGATGCTCTGTGCAGATCATGGTTATAACTTAAGTGCAACCACAGAATTCTACCAACAGACAACGTGCTCATTTGAACAACGCTTGGCTGCCATTTTGTTTCAGAAGTCAAAGTGAATCAGAAAGCAAATTTACAATGTATCTTGAAAGTTTTTTTTATCTCTATATGAGTTTTAGCCAAACTTAGTCAAATCCCACAAGAATTACCATGAAACAGATAGGCAGAAAGTGCAGGTACCATGATAAAAACATTTCATTCAGTTACAGAAACCATGGAGAAGTAGAACGGTATTTGCTGTCCAGACCCTGTAAGAAGATGCCAAGGGAAAAAAAAAAACAACACTACCCTTAAAGAATTTAAAAACCAAGAGGTTACTGGAGCACAAACACAGGCAAGCCACTCAATTATTATTAATAGAAAACAAAAATATTAATAACACAAAATTATCATTTTATCTGCTCTTGTATTCCAAATAGGCAAGACACATACCATCTCTTCAAGTTACTGCAGGTAAAGAGATTTTCAGCGAAGGTAAGAATATAATAGTGTACAAGAAGGATAAATAACACACACCACAAACAGGAGTGGCCTGGAGACAAGGCTGAAAGGAACAGCGTCAAAGTGCAAAAAACGAAAGCTTCGAGGGGCAAAGAAGACTTGGTAATCACAGCAGGACACCACCGTTAGACACCGATGGAACGTGAGAAAGAAAAGCAGTGAGAAAATGTGTGTAGAGACAGCACTACGGTTTTAGAACAGCGTGGATCCTGGTTCCGACTCTTACTGTGAATATGATGTTGGGCAAATGGCTTAAATTCTCTCGATTTTCAATTCCCTCATCTACTGTAAGTGTGGCTCATGTTTTCAATAAACACGGCCGCCTACGCCTGCAGACCACTGTTCCAGCCACTGAGGATACGAGCCCTGAACAAATGGGCGGTCATCTCATGGGCCTTCCAGTCTAACAGCCTATTGCTTGGGCTCAGAAGCTGAGAGGCGAGTTTTGTCTTAAAGCTCCCAGCACGCAGCACGCCCTCAGTAAGCCACTTGCCTCTGTTTGGGTCGCTGCTGTTTTTTATGGCATCTTCCGCAGTGCTTGCCACCAAATCATGCCTCTTCACTCCTCATGGTCATAAGTCATGGGGCGCTAGTCCCTGAACAACGAGGCAGCCCACATCTGCCCTCTGGGAGCTGACCCTCTAACCTGGGCTTAGCCACATACCTGTCCACACCTGACAACCCCGCAGAAACACATATCAAGACACGACGTATTGAAATAGTCATGTAACTATTAACCATATTTCATTTAATCCTCAGAATAATCCTGAAAGGTGGATGCTATCATATTCATTTTACAGATGGGGAAACTGAGGCTCAGGGAGGTTAAGCACATTGCCCAAGGCTACTCAGCCAATGTGTGGCAAAGCCGAGTCCCGAACTGAGATCTCTGAGACTCAGAGTCACCGATGACATTATGTGCCACGCAAGGAGCTCGGCGAGGCCATAAAGATGAAAAGACCCAGTCTCGATCCCTCGCTGGAAGCAAAGCTCGCGGATGGCCCTCCCTGAGCGCAGCGTTGTCTGTTTCCCCAGCGCGTGGGTGTGGAACTTGCCTGGGACAGCGCCCAAGACTGTCTGGATGAGGGTGAGGGGTTTCCGCCCGCGCTGGGGGTGGAGCCTGTACCCACTGCTGGGGGCCCCCACCCCGCACTCCCGGGCTGGCGCGTCCCGCGCTCCCCATTCCCGCGGCAGCTGGAGGGAGCGCTGGGAGTGGCTCGGCACCAGGCCCCCACACCCCGCCCCCCGCCTCGGGCCGAACTCCTCTCTCCACGCCCAGGCTGTCACCGGAGCGGCCGTGAAAGGCCAAGCGCTCAGGCGGTGGGACAGCGGCGCAAGGATGGCGCTGCGCCCGGGACAGCGTGGAGCCCACGTGCCGGGAGCGCGTCTGTGCGGGGCCAGCCAGGCGTCGGCGCCCTCTCGCCTCTGCCCGCTTGGGGCGCAGGAGCCGGGTCCCCATCCAGGCGCCGCGGGCACCGTGAGGGCACCAGGGGCGGCTGGGCAGAGGGCACACGCACCGGGGCCCCGGGTCCGCCCTCCCGCCTGCTCGTCTCCGGGGGCGCCCTCCACCCCCGCAGCCCGGCGGCCACCACCCCGGAACCCAGCGCCCAGCTCCTCGCGCCCCGGGCCTCTGGCACTACCTGCGGCCGCGGCTGGTTCCCGGGCGCCGCGACGCTGCTCTGCAGGACGCTGCCGGCGGCCAGGAGCCCTTGCGACATGCCGGGCGCTCC